TTGGAAAATTTCAAAATAAAGAGTTCATAGACATTAACCAACAACCATGAAAAGCACTTGCTCAGGCTGGTGCATACATACATGCACAACCTGTCTCAAATGTCCTTTTCTTCCTGGACAAGCCTTTCTCTTTCCCTCCTCTGAGCTCCCCACACTTGGTAAAACCTGCCCATTGGCGCTGACATCTAGTGGCCTCGAGAAAGTCTGTCTATACTTCCATCTATCCCCGTTGCTTAGAGGCTTTCGGACTATGTTCGGGAGGGCCTGCCATGAACTTCTGCACATCCAGTTTCAGGTTTTAAAATAAATCCCCATTTTACAATAGAAGCTGAAATGGAAAACACGCAACACCATTTCATGTCTGCGTCCCCCGGGGACAGTAGGATCTGGAGGGTGGAGAGGCTGACTGACAGCAGGCGAGCAAACCCACCACCCAGTGTCCTCCTTCTGAGGGTCCCTGGGAAGTCTCTTGTCCAGTGTCAGTACCCAGAAGGGTTGATCTCCTCGGGAGCTACCTGGGACTTCTCAGGTTAGGGACAGAATGCGCTGGAAGCTGCCCAGGCTCGCCTTTCCCAGTGGCGGCCAGATGTGGACCCCACGTACTGCAAGCACATCCAGAGGTCACTACGGTCTACATTATTAGCCTCATTCCTGGCTCCATCTAGGGTCTCCACCCTTGTTTTTCTTTCTTCTCTCTCTCCCGGTTTTCATATCCTATCACATTATATTTTATGTATCCTGCTAGGCTGCCCTAACTCCCTTCTGGAACAAGACCGGGTCCAAGGAAAAAGCTGAAACAGAAACCCTGTGCTGCCGCCTCTTTCTCCTGCCCCGTGCCCAGACCACAGGGCTGCGAGGCCCTCCTCAGCACCTGGTGCCTGAGCATAGTCTCTGGCCTGCCGTTTCTGAGGGTGGCCTGGTGACCTTGGCAATGATTGATGGAGTTTATAATTCCCAATGAGATGAGAAAGCAGGAGGAGGGGCATTTCTTTTCTAAACAGCCAGAAGTGAGTACAAAGCTCCTTCCAAGGAGGCCAGGCCACGAAGGAGAGGTACAAGGTGGAAATGGCCATTTGGTCCATCTAAACCCAGGCTGTGTCCTTTCACCACACTGCATGCACTAGGACCAGCATTCCCAGTGGTTGAGAGGAGACAGAAAGGGTGCTGTGCTGCACAGGAAAGATGAACAGGATAGAGTCACCCAAGGCCAGGAGGTGGGACAGGTCAGATGAGGAAGAGAGGCGAAAAGGACCAGGAGGCAGAATGAGAGAGCAGGTTCTGGAGTCACACTCTCCCAGCTCAGTGACTCACTAGCTGTTCAGCTTTGTGAAAAATGGCTCCCCCTCTCCAGGCCTCAGTTTTCTCAGCTGTGCAATGGGTAGAATAATATCTACTTCACAGGGGCATCGCTAAGATCAAATGAGATCTTGCTATAAGGTGCCGAGCACAGGCCCAGACACAGAGTAAGTGCTCAGTGAACATTACTGGCTACGCCACTATTAGCACCACAATCATTTCTACTGGAGTAGAGAATATACACTGAGGAGCTGTGGAAGGAAATGTGTGGTGTTGGATGGGGGCCAGAGTTTTTGAAGGCAGCAGAAGGTCAGGAAAGGACATCAAGTATAGCTTTGGCTTTGGAACAGTATTTGACAAATGAATGCAGATTTAGAATGCGAGGCTTCCAGATCCTGACTCAACCCATCGTCTGAGACACACACACACACACACACACACACACACACACACACACACACACACACACGGGCCCTGCTTTCTTGAGCCATTTTGCACATCTATTCTCTCCAGGCCTTTAAGATCTCTCACTTCTCTGGGTCATGAAGGTCAAAGCCTTCACATATGATCTCCAGCTCCTCTTTCCCCTCACCCATTCACACGCTACAGCTCCTGGTCCTAGGAAGGAACCTGCAGGGGAACAGCCTGCTGGCCTCTGGTCCCGTCCCTGCACCATGGGCCACGCCCACTCCTGACCAGTGGAGCTGGTCTGTGACCAGGCTGTAAACCCCAGGGCTTCCTAGTCTCACTTTTTTCCCAGACCTCAGACCCACACCAGGCCAAACACCTGGAGAAACTGCCTGCTTTACAGACCCCAGCTGGCCTGGCTGGGCTGTCCCCAGATGCAGACTCTGACTCTGATGGGGGGAGAAGGGGATCCTAACAGCCCTTCCCCAGGCATGGCCCTAGATTTTCTCCCCTGAGATTTTCCTGAAGGCTGAGAAGCCAACAGCCTCCTCTGATGAACTACTCATTCTTCAAGACCCATCTCCAATCTGTCCTGCCAAAATCAATTCCCCTCTCCCTGCCCCTGGAGCCCTCTGCAGCACTACCAACACCAGTAACACGCTGCCTCTGTATTACTGGGTAGGGAAGAAGCCGGTTCTCCTGGCCTCTCTGACCACCTCTGCTCAGGTGACTTAAGAAGTGACATCTCCAGTCCAGACGGGTGTGGCTCAGCAGTTGAGCATCGACCTAGGATCTAGATCGCAGTTCGATTCCCGGTCAGGGCACAGGCCCGGGTTGCGGGGTCGATCCCTAGTAGGGAGCGTGCAGGAGGCAGCTGATCAATGACTCTCTCACCATTGATGGTTCTATCTCTCTCTCCCTCTACCTTCCTCTCTCTGAAATCAATATATATTTTTAAAAAAGAAAAAAAAAAGTCGCATCTCCAAACCTTTCCAAGCTCCAAACCCACATATCTAACTGCCTAGCTAACATCACCATTAGGATATCTTGATGTTACTCCACCTCAGCAAGTCTAAAACCAAAACCAGGATCTTTCCCTCATCCCAGTCCCCCTTCTGGCAATGCCCATTTTTCAGAGAAAGGCACCATTCCTGACCTGTTGGGAGAGGAACACTGCACGTGGTGTTCTTGACCATTCTCTCTCCCTTACTTAGGCCAGTTAGTCTCTTTCCAAGTCAAATCTCTTTCATCTCTGAAACAGGTCACAAACCACTTCACTAGTCTCCATGTCTCTGTTTCGACCCTAGCACAAACCTCTACCATTGTCGACTTAGAGAATGACCACAGCCCTCTAACTAGGATGCGGGCATCCATTCTTGACCAATGCCCCCACCCCCCATCAGTTCTCCCTGCTGTGGCCGAAGTCACCCTTTCAAAACAGTATAATTTCCCACTGTCTTTAAAGTAAAGAACAAAAGTCCCAATTTGGACCACTGGGCCCTATATGGCCAAGCCTTCATCTCCTCCTCCAGGCCCTGTGTTGGCTGCACTCCAGGCACACTGACCTTCTTTCTGTGGCTCAAACATGCCGTGCTCGCTCCTGCCACAGGGCCTTTGCACATGCTGTTTCATCCATCTGGATGTCTCTCACCAATCTTCACCCGGTGGGTATTCTCTTCCTTCAATCACAGCTCAACTATCAGGAAGCCTTCCCTGACCTCTGGCCACATCAGTTTTCTTGGCTGTTCATTTTTATCTTAGACACTGTCTCCATTACCTTTCACAGTCATAATTTTCTATTTATTTTTCTTATTTTTTGATCCACTCCCTCTTCACTGCAGTAAACTCTATGAGGGCAGGACTGATGTCTGATTAGGCCCACCATTGTATCCCAGGGCCAGCCCAGCCCCTGGCACAAAGGAGACCATCGAGAAGTGTTTATTTAATGCATAATGAATCATCTTTCTATCCCCTAGCCTGCCTTTCTCTGCTGTCCCCATTCCCTCATCTCTGTTCAAGTTTGACTCCCAAAAGTTGTCTTGGATAATTCTTCCTCCTTATATCTTTGAAAACCCCTCTTTCTCACTTCCACATCCCATCTATCAATAAATCTTGGGGATTCTCCCTCCTAAATCTCTCCAATGTGCCCACCCTTAGCACCTACACTTAAACCACCATCTTTCCTTATCCCCACCTCGGCCTCCCACTTAGAATCCCAATTCTCTGAGTCACACCTCTGCCTGAAATGCTTCAGTGGCTCCCCTTGGCCCACAGGAGGGACGATGCACTGACGCTGGCTTATGAGAGTAGCAGGATCTGGCCCCTGACTCCCTCTCTCTTTCTTGCCACTCTGCCTCCCAGGCTCATTGCTGTCATTATATGGGACTTCTCGGAATTCCTCTCTCGGCTGATCTGTCTCCACGGAGCATTTTTCCATCCCCTTCTACTACTGCTACTCATGTTCCAAGTCTCAGGCTAAAGGAAATCTTGCCCAAACCCCTCACATAGGCAAACAATAGTAATAATGGCTGATATTTGCTGAGTACTTACTAAGGGCAAGCACAGCTCTAAGAACTTTGCAGTATTGACTTATTTAATTTTCACCACCAGCTATGATTATCCTGCTACAGAACAGGCGCAGAGAAGTTAAATGACTCGTCCAAGGTCACATTAGATAGTAAATAGCAAAGCTGGCTGACATAAGAACTCGAGCTCCAGGCCTCAAACTCCGCAACACTACGAAAACTGTGGTCGTCCGCTGTTCCCAGAGTGTCCTATATTCCCCCTTCTGTAGCAATGATCACATGTGCACGAACTTATTCAATGGCTGCTCTCCCCACCAGACTGTCCACTCCCTGGGGGCAGGAACCATGTCTGTCTTATTGAAGGCTTTACCTCCAGCAACTAGCCCAATGCTTTTTTAGCTGAATGTCATGCTTTGCATCCCACCGTCCCTACCTCCAAGTCACCAGCTCCAGAAGAAGGCGTGGGCAGACCCTTCATAAATGCCACTGAATGGCCCACAAGACACACACACAAGGAGGATTCACAGGGAAATCGCCCCACCACGGACTCTGCTGACTACTGCCAGATGAGCTCCTCAGCATGGCGCTCAGCCACTAAGGGTTGCAGCCACTTAGCTAGTGCTAGAGGGAAGCAAGATTCACCATCCACAAGTCCAGAATGATGGCAGTAAAGCTCTTGAGCCAGGCTGGGCCAGCAGATGGCTCCCCCTGCTGGTTCCCTTCCATGTTCGTGGGCACCCTCTTGCAGGGCACTGCCCAGGGGACACTCACCAGCCAGGAGAAGAAGCCAGCTGATTTGTCCTGGGTGGAGATCTGCCCCTCATAGGGACCGAAGATGTGGCCTTTGGGGATAACCTCATTTATGCAGCGCACATCACTCTCCCCACTGGCGTCCTTGACCACCTCCATGCCCTGTGGGATGGTGAGGGCGGCCCGGTCTGGGATGCCCACAGGCACCGGCGTGTCGGACACAAACACGGGGGGACCATGTTTCGGGCATTCATCCACAAAGTACTCCTGGCATGACTCGCAGACTGGAGGGATGGAAAGAGGAGAAACTCAGGTGTTGGGGGAGGTAGGACCCCCACGGAGAAGGTTGAGGGGCTGCTGGGAAGCCCACCCTGAGAACAGCACAGGGCAGCGGAGAGCACAGTATGGCACTCCGGAGCCCCAGCCCTCGCTCCACCCCGGCCAGCCATGGGCCCCTGAGTCTTCAGTAGCAATAACTCAGTGCCTTCCCTGGGGGCTCAAGGACATGCCTGCCAACACTAAGGAAGCCAGTAGCTCCCTTTGTTTCAAGTTTGAAAAAGTAGAAGAAAGAGCATGTTCTGGAGTCAGTTTGAATTGCAACTGTGCATCTGTGGGCTGTGGGACCTGAGGCAGGTTTCTTAATCCTCACTAAGGCTCAGTCTCTTCACCTGGAAAATGGGACCAATAATAGCCACCTCAGTGGCTAATGGAGAGGATTAACTGAGGCATAAACCTGTGTCTGCTACATAATAGATGAGGGCTTATCATTAGTATTTTCCCTGCAAATTCCCTAAGCGAGATGGGGTCAGGGGTTGGGGGTGAAGGGAGGAGTAGCCCAGGAAATAGCCCCAAGCTTCACTTACACCAGAAGTCCACTTGCTGGAAACTTTTGGGCATGATGAGGTCACGCTTCCCCTTCAGTTTCTTGGGCTCCACTTCCATGGCCGAGGGATCTGGTCTCCTAGAGCTGGCCAGGACAGGGGCCATTAAAGAAAGCAAAGAAGCCATCAGTGAGGGACAGGCTGGTGGACAGAGAAGCTGAGGACCTCGCCAGGAGGCCATAGGTGCAGGGCAGGTGGAGGAGCCCCAGACAGCCTGCCCGTGCAATGGGTAGTAGAAAGGGAGGAGTCCTGAGACCTGGGCCTAGGCCTTCTTGGGCCACTGCTTGTTTTTTTCTAAAGCCTGTGATCACCTCTGGTCCCAAGAGCTGCCTGGAGTAGGATAAGGTAGGCAGGGAATGGGAACTCTCCACGGGGTCTCCCACCAACCAGACCAACCCAGCCCAGCCCCCCCCCTTCTCCCTCTCCTGTCCGAACACAGGGGCCTCACCAGGGCTGGCCATACTCCTGGTCACGGAGAGGTGAGCAGACTTCTGTCTTCACCACGGTCACCATGTCCCCCACAGCTGCCTTGGTCTGCGCCAAGCACTCCTTCATGTTCTCAGTCATTCTGTTCTGGGGACGGGGAGGCGGGACCAGCACAGGAAAAGGATCAAAGAGACAGGGGAAGAGGGGTGAGTGGCGGAGAGGGCAATCGGGGGTCTCGTGGAGTCTGGTTACCCTCCCTGCCATCCCCAGAGGAAGCGCTTGAGAACACAGACAACAAAAACAGCTGTAGCCTGGCCAAGAGGAAATGCCATTTCTATCCCGGGCTGGTCCTGGGGACGACTGGAGCCACCAGCCCCATGGGGTCAGGGGCCAGGGGCAGCTCAGGCCAGGAAGCAGGGGTGGGTAGCACAGCCTGGACCCCAACACCAAAGGGCAAAGGGTATGAGGAACCCGCAGGAGCCTCCGAAAACTCTGCAATGGGGAGCAGGGGAGGGGTCGAATCAAGTCCAGCTGGGGACAAGGGGAGTGGACGAGGGGAGATGGCCACGAAGCCCTTAGCCCAGGGGCTGCCAGGGAATGCGGCCAGGCCCGCTTCGCCAGCTCAGAGCAGGTACAGGCGGGGCCTGGGGGTCCTGGTGTGGGCTGGCCCTGACTCCAAGCTCCACCCTGCTCTCTCTAGGGGAGTCTCCCCAGTCGTCGCTTACCCCCTCCTCCACCACTGCGCCGGGCTTCAGCCCCTCCCTCAGCACCCCAGGGTCCTCATGCCAAGTCCCTGGACACTCTTCGGGCCAGGGCAGCGCGCAACTCGGGCAGGGACCGCGCTGGCCCCGGGACTGGGCGAGCAGGGTGTGTGACTCACTACTCAGGGCCCCGCTGGCCACACCCCTGCTCCTCGGCTAATCAGCCCCCTGCTCCCCACCGGGGCCCCAAAGCCGGCGGCGGCGGAGAGGGGTGTGGGGAAACATGACGGCCTGCCCCCTCCTCCGAGCCGGCGAGGACAGGGGCGCGCGGAGGGGTGCGGGGGCTGCCTGAGCCGGGCGGAGCTGCCCGGCTGCAGCCCCA